ATCTTGAGTGTATATCTTGGAGCTTGTTACCAGATGAATTCCAATCCCAACTAGCACCATTGGAACACTTTTATCATCCAACTTCCCCCTCTTCTGATATGGTATATTCTTATAACATAAGCTACCAAAAATCCTCGGATGATTCACAGTAGGTGACATTCATGTAATTTCCATGTGTATGTTTGTGTTTTTATTTAGTTTTGTTGATTGTTACTTTAGAAATTACACACTTTTGGTGTAATGATTTAGTTTGTAAAATATTTGTAATTTGTTTAGATTATGGTTATTCTGAGCAAAAACAGGTGCACGATCACTCAATAGATCATTGGTGAACCCCAAAAGAAGAAGGAAGATGCAAAAATGCAAGACAAAAAGAGAAGATCCTGATTTTGGGATGTACCCGATCGGGTATACCCTATACCCGATCGCGTATCTACTTGTTTTGCATATCCGATGAAATCAAGAAGACAAAGGGACGTGTAGGGAAATATTTGACCATGACCAATTGACATACCCAATGTTCTAGAACTCGCTAGGCGCTAGCCGGGCGGCGGGGCGGGGCCTAGCGCCTAGGGTGCCTAGGCGCTGCCACATAGATATGGTCCTCTTTTTTTTCGTGGAGATATACTAACATAAATGATAAAATATGTACTATTTACTATATTACAAAGCTTGTATGTAACTGAAAACTAGAAACATGGTGTCCAAAGTGCAAAGAATAAGAGACAACAGTATAAAATGGTTGAAAATAATCAATGGGAGTTTTTTTTTTGAATTAGAAATGTAAGGGGGTGTTTGGAACTGATTCTACTTCTGCTTCTTTTTTAAAGCAGAAGCAGAATCAGAATCAGTTTTCAGAAGCTGGTCACCCCCAGCTTCTAAAAAAACTGATTCTATACGTAAATTTGAGTACCAGAATAACTTCTGCACTTTCACCCAAACACTCCAGCTTCTGCTTCTACTCCTTGAAGGAGCAGAAGTAGTTTTAAGAATTAGATCCAAACACCCCCTAAGTCGATCACCACGTCGCATCTCACAGATGAGGGCGATAATCATTGTCATCGTTTTCCTTCCAAAATGTTTTGAAATTCCAAAATAGGGGTATCATGTTTTTTATTTCCTGAATAGGAGTAAGGGGTTTGTCCTCAAATAATGCTAATTAAAAGCATTTGGACAAAAAAAGTGACTTTTCTTTTAAGTTCCAAAAATAAGACTAAATAATACTTAAGGGACTATTACACCCTTACTAAGCCCAAACCCACTGGTCTGGTAACTCGTCACAGTTACCAAATGTGCAGTGACCAATGTTACAGTTACCAATGACATAGTTACAAAATTAATCCAGTGACCAAAAATAATTAGTGACCAAACATCCAAAATTCCTCAGTGACCAAAAATCATTAGTGACCAAACATCCGAAATTCAACAGTGACTAAAAATCATTGGTTCCGTCCAGTGACCAACCGACACAGTGACTTTCGCCCAGTGACCAACCGACAGAGTGACTTTTGCCTAGTGACCACCACTAATCACAGTTACTCACCCTGTCATTGACCACATTGACTACCACCCACTTTCAATGACCAACAATCGATTACAATGATCAACAATCGATACAATGACCATCAGCCCGGTCACCGTGACCACCACCCTAGAGCTACAGTGACTAATTTTTATTAGTAACCACTCAGTCAATTACCCACCACCCAGTTACCCACTAGAGTCAATACAGTTCTATGCTATGGTTACATTGCCTAACTTCCAATCTATCTACACAACGACACTGCCGTCCACCACCGCAAGCCACCACCTGTCCCCGCTCCAACACCACCGGCGACAGCCCCACCAACCGAACCAGAACCCCCCTGCCCTTACCTAGCCCCTGCCCACTCCCTAGCCTCTCAAGCCCTCCCGGCCCCTGTCTCCGCCTGCACCTTCCTAGCCCCAGGCTGCCCTCCCCCAACCCCTGTAACATGCCAATGTCCCTGCGACCCACCACGATCTATCCCTTCTCCAATAACCTCTATGATAGTGAAATGTCATCTGTTGTGGCATCTCACCAACATTGCGATCGGAAAATTGAAACTCTATCACCATTGATTTGGATTCCCTCAACCGTAGCACATAGGTGGGGCTTAGATCTTTGTCGATGTTCGCCTAGGTTGGGAGGGCGGTTGTTTGCGGCGAAGAAGGCGACGAAAGAAATGAGAAGAAGAAGAAGAGAGGTTGAAGCGGCGGCGGTGATGACCAATAGGCACCGACAGCGAACAGGCGGTGATCAATAGGCGGCGACGGCGACGAATCGACGGCAGCGATGCAGAATCAACAACAACGAAGAGTTTAAGCGGCGACGACATTTGGTATGGGATACGGAAGAGGTGCAGAGAACATATCTGTAATATTCATTAGGGTTTTTGTTAAAACGGAGTAATTTATATGAGGGGTAGTTATGTCTCTTTACATCCAAATAGTCTATTTTTTGTCTAAATTCGAAAGTAACCCCATTTTTGTCAAATGCTATCCTGGAAGTCTTACTTCCGTCATTATTTCTAGGAGTAATCTGCCAAGTTGGAAAGAAATGTCATGTTTAAAAGCTTTGTAATGCCAAACTTGGCAGAAATTTACTCCTATTCAGGGAATAAAAAACATGATACTTCTATTTTGGAATTTCAAAACGTTTTTACTCCTACTTAGGGAATTATCTCATCCTTAAATCGGCGATTGCAAAACACATCCTTGCATGTTCCCAATTTCCCATAAATACACCTCTTTCCTTCATACAAAAATCATCAATTCCTATATACTTCTAAGCTAAGTCTAGATAAGTTCTTTCTTTATATTTTTATCATGTTTAGTCTCCAAATGAGGAGCTAAACTCTTCCATCTTGGTTTTGCTACATTTGAAACTTAATGATTTGTAAGTTGTGAGTTATTTTCTTTAATCATCTTCCTTGAATATTAGTTACATTCCTATTCTATATCCCATATTAATATCTTGAGCATTACTTAAAGGATCAACTAGTTTTGTTTCATATATTAATTATTACTAGAATCGATCGATTAATACGATTGTTATTAACTCGATCCTTTGACGGTAGTAAACTTGGATTATTAACGCATGTGTCTCATGATTAATAATCTAAGGGGAATTAATTATACTATGTATTGATTAAACCAATAAACCGCTTGAGTTGAGGTTATCAATCTCAATCGATTTCATCTTAAGTTTTATTGCTACTATCGGGTCAATATACGAAATGTGTTCTATATTGACTTGATAGTAAGTTTTATTGATGAACACATTTTGTTATTAATAACTAGCCTCGATGAATTGGATATACTCCACGATTGAGTATTCGAGAGGAAGATAGTTAAAGATATAACCGGGATCGACAAACATTTCATTAAGTGGATATAAGCAAAGTCAAGTCTCCATCTCTAATTAGTTAATCCACATAAGTCGTTCAACTTAGTGGTTAATATACTTCAAGTTCAACAACAATCTTAAGACCCCCTTGGCACTATTTCATTAAAAGAGAAGCATTCATTTCCATGCGGATACGAACTTTACTACGCTATATTACCTCCGTCCCAAAATGAGAGTCTCATTTCTTTTGGGCTCAAAGATTAAGGAAGTGGTTGAAAAGGTAAAAGTTGTGGTTGAGATTTGAGTAGAAAAAGGTGAAATGATGTGGACCACATCTTTCTTTCTAAAAAGGGAAATGGGACTATCAATTTGGGACCGCGCAGAAAGGAAATATGAGACCATCAAATTGGGGCGGAGAGAGTACTACGTATAAGTGTTGTATTGAATATTTATTTTGAGGCACAATACGACAAAGTGTCGTCAGTAGGTCTCACACCAGACCACACCTTTTTTGGTACTTCACCCTTCAGCTTCTTAGTAGGGCATCTATTCAAGATATATACTGTAGTATTAGCAGCCTCTCCCCATAGGAATTTTGCCAACTTCTTCTCTCTGAGCATTGATAAGTTCGTATTTCAACACGCATTTGATGCATGTTGGCCGAGATTGAGTTTTATCATTTTTTTCTAATTTACTTGCGTCACAAAGTGTTTATTTAGCTCAAGTCACGGTTTACCAGGTTTGGTTTGCATTCGCTGAAGAAAAGGAAGAATTCGTACCCGACATCAGCATTTGAGCTCAAGTGGAGAAGATTTGAGATGCGTTCGAGAGACAGCGAGAGGCATTGGAGGTCCACGGGATAACCTAGAAACATGATTTCAGACTTGAAAGGTTAAAAAATGAAGATAGGATTGATCGGGATGACCTAGAGGCATGATTCGAGCCTCATTAAGAAGTTGTGCTTCAGTCAAAATCATTTTGGACCGCCTATCCTAATCAGTTTGGGACTGGGAGTGAGATCCACCCCTATGTCGAATTGAAGTGTCAATAGTGGCTCAAACCAAGCCTTAAAAGAGAAACAAAAGCTTCAAACGGGCAACATTTGACTTGGTTTTGCCATGCACAAAAGACGATAATTTTTGCTTAGTTTTTTCAACTAATTTTTCTCATCTGACACGTAATTTTTTATTTTACACGCTGAATTTGTAATAATCAAAATAAGTAGATTGAAGTTACTTATATGACTGAATTGACTCAAATTGTAAAACAAAAAAAAAATTAAAAAATTTTAATATATTTTTTCTTTATTTTGTTCATAAAATGGATTTTAATTATAATCTTTTAACAATTCAGCATAATAAGAGCAGCACATTCTTTTTGAAAGACCATGTGAGGAGATGAATCATCTCATTCTAGTTTTTTGTCCAGATGTTTTTGTGCTAGCTCCTAGGCTAGGCGGGCTAGCTAATCATGGGACTTTCTATATTTTTGTGCCGGCTGATGGGGCATCCTAGCTTAGAATTGCCTTTTTTTCCTTGTAGTCTGTTTTGGACACATGCTATACATATTACTTTATGTATTGCCATCTATGGATAAGACAATAAATTGCAAAATAAATATAGAAGAGGAAAAGCAAGAGTGATTTTTTCACATTGACACTATCTCAATTCAAAACTTTTAAACATACAACGTATTGGTGAGTAGTGACTGTTTAAATTCTCACTATTGGGGGAGCACACTGGAAGGAGCCCAAAATACAAACTAGTATAACAAAATTTAATTGACACAAAAAAGATCAAGTAACTGGAATCTCATTGGCAGAACAGCAGTTGTTGATCACTTCTTCTTCAGGGCAGCCTTAGTGACCTTAGCACCAGTAGGATCCTTCTTCTCAACACTCTTAATGACACCGACAGCAACCGTTTGCCTCATATCCCTTACAGCAAAACGGCCAAGTGGTGGGTACTCAGCGAAAGTCTCAACAACCATCGGCTTAGTCGGAACCATCTTCACGAAACCAGCATCACCATTCTTCAAGAACTTAGGTTCCTTCTCAAGCTCCTTACCCGACCGCCTGTCAATCTTAGTCACTATCTCAGCAAACTTCACAGCAATGTGGGAGGTGTGGCAGTCCAGAACCGGGGCATACCCATTGCCAATCTGACCAGGGTGATTCATGATGATGACCTGAGCTATGAAGCTAGCAGCTTCCCGAGCAGGGTCATTCTTCGAGTCAGATGCAACGTACCCACGTTTCAGATCCTTTACTGCAACATTCTTCACATTGAACCCGACATTGTCACCTGGGTGTGCCTCCTGAAGGGATTCATGGTGCATCTCAACAGACTTGACTTCTGTGGTCAAACCGGAGGGCGCAAACGTAACAAGCATACCTGGCTTAATAACACCAGTCTCCACACGTCCAACGGGAACAGTACCAATTCCACCAATCTTGTAGACATCCTGAAGTGGGAGCCGGAGTGGCTTGTCTGATGGCCTCTTTGGCTCGTTGATTTGATCTAGAGCATCCAGAAGGGTGGGGCCCTTGTACCATTCAAGGTTTGTTGATCTCTCGATCATGTTGTCACCCTCAAAACCAGATATGGGCACGAATGGGACTTTTTCAGGGTTATATCCAACCTTCTTTAGGTACGATGACACCTCCTTCACAATTTCTTCATACCTAGCCTTAGAGTACTTTGGGGTGGTGGCGTCCATCTGAAGAGATAAATCACCAAACAAAGAAGATAAGTACCGAGGTTAGTACTTGGTAGATATCATTCATTTGATAAATCATAAGACAGTCAAATCTAGCTTTCTATGTATGTCTTAGTTATTTAAACAAATTAATTCAAAATATACTATAATTCATGTTTAGTTAACCCAAGGAATACATTTTAGAAATACTATAATTCATGATTTATGACGGTTATAATTGACCATAATAAAAAATTGTCCATTGGTGAAACGACTCTTTATAGGAAAGGGGACAATATTTGGTATAATATGCAAACATAATAAGAATAAGAACTATAATAAAAAATAGACCTTGTTACAGCAGCATATCATTTGCTTGACACCCAAGGTGAAAGCCAGCAAAGCGTGCTCACGAGTCTGACCATCCTTTGAAATACCAGCTTCAAACCCACCAGTTGTAGAGTCTATGATCAAAACAGCACAGTCAGCCTGTGAGGTGCCTGTAATCATGTTTTTGATGAAATCGCGATGTCCAGGGGCATCAATGACCGTGCAGTAGTATTTAGTGGTCTCAAATTTCCACAGGGCAATATCAATGGTGATACCACGTTCACGCTCAGCTTTGAGTTTGTCAAGAACCCATGCATACTTGAATGACCTCTTGTTCATTTCTGCAGCTTCCTTCTCAAACCTCTCAATCACACGCTTGTCAATCCCTCCAAGCTTGTAAATTAAGTGACCAGTCGTGGTCGACTTGCCGGAGTCGACATGTCCAATGACCACCAAGCTGATATGAACCTTCTCCTTACCCATTCTGAACTTCGGATTGAAACCGCAGTACCGGAAAAACAACTAAGTTAATGATGCGCATTAAACACAGGTTATGCAAAGTAAGCTCATATAATAGAGTTGAACAACTTAAGCCTCGGTTGATAAGTGACCAAGAAATATTAAAATCAATATTTCTAGAACTAAGGCATCTGATAGATGTGACAACTGACAACACTGGATATAACCTATCAAGCGATGATAAAGCTTCTTAAGTGGTATACTTGTGAACAACCTCCGTTCATCACTGGAAAATTAAATCATATTCCGAACTATAACTAAGTCATGCAACAAAAGCTTCAAGTTGACTATAAAATTACGTTGAGCTTGACAATCTAAACAATATCATCCAAAACATGAACATAAATCAAGTCTAAATCCGATTAGCACCCTTTCTTATGGATATAAATCGATAAGATGTCAAAAGGTAACCAGGTACTGCACTGATCAGCTTAAACAGATAACAGATCAAATATACCTAATCCTAAGCAGATAAGTCGATCAGAACAAAAGATGTGATAGAAAACAGTTAAATCAGAATCTAAGACATGATCCATTTAAGTAAGCTCATAATGAGAAGCCCTAGTTGAGCACATACCTGTATCAGATGTGTGCTTCTAGCTTGAAGAATACTACAGCTTGCAGGAGAAGAAATTGGGTACTTTATAGATCACATCCACGTTCTGCGGTGATGATGGCGGTACATTTAGGTCAGCCGCGAATGATCATTTCCTATCCCTTAATTTGGGTAACAGATCGTCATACACTCATACTTGTCACTAATTAAACTTTGAATCATCATTATTGCATCCTCATTTTTTCCTTCACTCAGTATCTCGTTTTCTACTTTTCTTCTGAAAAAAGGGAAAACTGTCAAATAGGTCCTCGAACTTTCATAAAAAAGTCAATTAAGTCCTTCTATAAGAGACTATGTGCGGTCGTCGCGATTTGGGGCGGTTCCCGGTGGAATTTTTTGATGAATTTTTTTGAGCATCTTATTCATCAAGTCTAGTTTACTCATACCAAATTTCAGCTAAAAATTTGATCGGGAGCACATTCCAATTAATTCGAGAACGCAAAAATGCGCAGTTATCTTCAAGAATTAATTTGAATGTGTTCCCGATTGAATTTTTAGCTGAAACTTGGTATGAGTAAACTAGACTTGGTGAATAAGATGCTCAAAAAAATTCATCAAAAAATTCCACTGGGAACTGCCCCAAATCACGACGGCCGGGCAAAACCTCCTATAGAAGGACTTAATTGACCTTATTATGAAAGTTCGAGGACCTATTTGACACTTTTCCCTCTGAAAAAATGATCCCTTTAATATTATTATAGGTAACCAGATTTCAAAAAAAATAAATCATATTGATATAAAACTCTGATTAAAAAATGAATAATTCTAAAATAACATCAAGGGTAACTCAAAATATCATAGATACTTTATCTTTCTTAATGATTCAATGCACATAATCTTTTTTGTTTTGTTTCTTTTTTGTTTTCTTTTTTCTCAAAAAACTCTTTTTTTTTGTTATAGGGGTGTTTTGGATATATTTCTTAGAGTTGCTTTGTTCCTTTAAAGAGCAGAAATATATATTATGTGTTCGGACAAAAGTAAAGAAGTACTTCTCGATGCGTTAGATTACTCATAGAAGCAGCTCTTTAGAAACCGATGAAGAGCACTTTCTGAATAACCAACTCTAATTTTACTTTTGCTTTCAAAACACAAATAGAAACAGAATCAATTCCAAAGACCGTACACTAATTAAACCCAAAATCACACCATTAGTGATCTCCCTAATGCACTCAACTTTCATAATTTCACCCATACATACCCTTTGTGTCTTTTGTGATGGATAGCATAACTTTAGTATCTGGAACACCCACAAGTATGTTTTATTTTCTACTGTTCTTTGCTTCAAAGATTGAAAACATCCCAATTTTCATGAAAAGAAACATCCTTTTTGTGTTCCAAATTTGGACCTAGAAGTCTAGAGCATCACCTTTGTGACGTGCTTTTTAGAATTACAAGTAGGCTTTGTCTTATTAGCGCAGATGTAATATTTTATTTAGTTTTACCTGAGACCATATTTTCTCAATAATATGCACATAACTATAAAAGCTATCAAATGCTGGATGACTTGGATCTAATTCAAGACTTGTGAGAATCTATGACTACAACACTATGTGAAATCCATGTCCTCTTTTTACACTATCTTGTTAACTGTTGACTTTAACATCACAGGCTTACAAGGTTATAACTTGGCTTTCAAGCCATATTCACACCAGAACTTCGTGTTGTACACACTTTTATACCATACCCAATTATACCACCATGTCCATGAAGAGATTCACAGACAAAATAATTTGCACTGACATATTTTGTCTGTGACCGAGATTCACAGACAAAAAAACTTTGCAGTCTGCACAAACATGGTGGGTATAAGGATGGGTACAAACAATTTTTTTGTATTCACACTGGCCTTGGGCTGGTTTTAGAATGGAGAGTCCAACCCCTAATAGAGTGTTGCCAGACTCGAGCAGTAGATACACCAATGCTAATCCTTTAATTAATTTACAGTTATGAACCATTAGTCTACAAAAAATAAAGATAGAAGCAACAGGTTAAGTGGTAGCATAGGAAGATGCATCAATTATTACCAAATCAATGAAACCAAAATAGTGCGGCATGAAATGGAGTGTTGAGAGATATATCAAAAACATCAAATATATAAAGATGAATTGGACTTTATTTAATAACAAAATAACAATAATAATAGTCTAATCAGCGGCTTGAAGAAAAGGAGGCTGCAGAAGACTGCAGCAGATTATCGCTACTATCTGCATCCTCCTGAGGAACGTGGAAGTAGTCCTGAAGAGCAGACATCTCAATCTTGTTGGATTTCAAGCTCTTAATTGCCTGGGCGGAAGCCAAAGCCCCGGCAACTGTGGTGATCACTGGAATCTTATACGCAAGGGCCATCCTCCTCAGCCTTCGCCCATCAATCTGGTCCAGTGTGTCCCCTGAGCTAGTGATCACGCTCAACTGAATCTGCCCATTGGCAATCAAGTCGCCTGCGTGAGGCCTACCCTCGTGCATCTTCAGCACTCTTTCCACTGGAACCCCTTCCGACTCGAGCACGTGTGCGGTCCCACAAGTTGCGACCAACTTGAACCCGACCTCCAGGAAAGCACGAGCTATGGTGACAAGGTGTGGCTTTGTCAAGTCATTCAAGCTGAGGAAAAGAGTCCCCGAGAGTGGCAGCTTCTGGCCTGCTGCTATCTGGGCCTTGGCAAAAGCAATCGACGGCTCGGCGTGTATACCCATCACCTCACCCGTGCTCCGCATCTCGGGCCCCAGCAGCACGTCACACCCTTGGAACTTCTCAAACGGGAGGACTGCCTCCTTGACCGACACATGCCTTGGGATGACCTCATCAGTGAAGTTTATGTCATGTAGGGATTTTCCGGACATCACGAGCGACGCGTATTTGGCCAATGGGTGCCCGATCGACTTGGACACAAAGGGAACAGTCCGCGATGCCCGCGGATTGGCCTCGAGCAAGAAAACGTCACCCGAAGCCGTGATGGCATATTGGCAGTTCATCAGCCCAACCACTTTTAGCCTCTTTGCTAATTTGGTGGTCCACGACCGGATCGTGTCGAGGCATGATGATGAGACGGTTTGGGTAGGAAGCATGCAAGCTGAGTCCCCCGAGTGGATCCCGGCCTGCTCGATATGCTCCATGATCCCACCGATCACCACGTTACCGTGTGAGTCAGCAAGAGCATCAACATCAATCTCTATGGCATCAGACAAATACTTGTCAATCAAAACCGGTCGATCTGGATCTACCTCAACTGCATTTTGGAGGTACTTCACAAGCTTCTCATTGTTGTAGACAATCTCCATGGCCCGACCGCCCAAGACATAGGAAGGTCGCACGACAACTGGATATTCAATATCTTCTGCGATGGAAAGAGCGTCTTTTTCGCTCTTGGCAATGCCACCTTTCGGCTGCTCAATCTTCAATTCATTTAAGATGATGTTGAACCTCTCCCTATCCTCAGCAGCATCTATGGAATCAGGTGAGGTGCCCCATATACGAACATAGCCGGCCCCACTTCTGGACTCGAGTTTGGTTTCACCCAAGTATTGCTCAATTGGAAGGGACAGTTTCAGCGGGGTCTGACCACCAAACTGTACAATGATGCCATCAGGTCTTTCCAGATCAATTACATTGAGGACATCTTCAACTGTGAGAGGTTCAAAGTAGAGACGATCACTTGTGTCATAATCTGTAGAAACTGTCTCAGGGTTTGAGTTCATCATTATTGTTTCGTAGCCAGCATCCTGCAGACATACATCACACAAAATCATTAAATCACAAAACTTGAATTCATTAATTTGATTTGATGTTTTCAATGTTTGTCGCCTATCTTGGCTTTACATAATCAAGTTATGCATTCTAGTAGCAAGCATGACATGGGGATTGTATGGACAACTGGGCTACATAACTCTAACATCATCAGTATCACCTTAATCCCAATTGAAATTATTTATCCAAGTTAGTTAACAGTGATCTCTAAAAGTCTAAAAGAACTTTTGAAGTTTGAACTCGTCAATTCATGCTGCCAAAACTTAATATTTAGCTGTCATTACAATTCTAATTTGTCCGCTGATATGGAGATAATCCAAAGAAACATTTGATGCACATTTAATACTACAATATGCACATTCTAACTTGTCCGCATGATATTATTTAGTGCTTGTTTTGTTGGGGGTTTTAGAGGGGATGGCTCATTTTTATTTTATCATTAATTTATTACTTAGTTGGAAAGAAAGTTATGATACATAAATAAAACACGTGATTAAACTAAGCATATGCCAGTAGTTATTTCCTAGACTTAGACTGAAAAACAGAGATGCATTACAGCATTAGTTTTTTTTTTAGTATGGAAATAAAATAAAAAAACATTGAACTCCCTCCCATCCAGAATCCCCCAACCAAACAAGCCCTCAAGTAAAGTCTCAGGCTTTTCTAATTTATAGCCATTGAGAAATGTAGTGTGAAGACAAGATGACTAGATTAAACCCCTAAGTGGTTATGTAAAGCACATACCTGAAGAGCAAAAGAGGTGTGGCAGCAGCAGTAATCAAACTCAATTCCCTGTCCAATCCGGTTCGGTCCGCCGCCCAATATCAAAACTTTTTTCCTCTCTGTGGGACCCGATTCACACTCGAAGTCATAAGTTGAGTACATATAAGGGGTATCAGCTTCAAATTCTGCAGCACATGTATCAACCCTCTTATACGCGGGTTTGATGCCAAATGACAGGCGCTTCATGCGGACTTCTTTCTCAGTGGATTTCAATGCAAAGGCTATCTGTTTGTCACTAAAACCCCTTTTTTTCACCTCACACAAATCTTCCTTTGTCAAGGTTGACAAATTGTGAACCAAAAGGTATTGCTCAATATCAACAAGCTCCTTAAGTTGTGAAAGGAACCACTTATCAATGTAACTGACCTCATGAATGTTGTTAACCGTCATTCCCCTTTTCATGGCAGCATAAATGGCGTGAATGCGATCAGGGTTAGGGACTCTAAGGCTGTACTTTAACTTTTCCCAGTCCCAGCTTAGCTCTTTAACATTTGCACAACCCCACCCAGAATGACCACATTCTAAAGACCGGAGTGCTTTTTGAAATGATTCTTGGAATGTTCTGCCTATAGCCATAGATTCACCAACGGACTTCATTTGAGTTGTCAGAATTGGTTCTGATCCAGGAAACTTCTCAAAAGCAAACCTGGGTATCTGCCCAAGATCCACATAAAATGAAAGGATT